CAAAAAACCAGGCTTTGACTGCTTTATTACAGTTTGTGAAAAGTTGTGGTGTTTGCTTCCAAGGTTTGGTTTGGGGATCAAGGAGTTCTTGTGCTTCTTTCTGACTTACTCTGTAGGACAAAGGTTACAGTAATGACTTGTGTGCTTTATGCTCCATTACATAACCATGTCAAATCACGTTTAAATTGATCGTGTTTATTTGCTTGTAAGGGTGTTTAGTCTGCACATATGTCTGTGCACTACATGCATGCTTGGTGGGCAAGGGGCTAGAAGAGTGTCTAATCCCTGGCACTGGAGATATAGATCATTATAAGCCACCAAGTGGGTATTAGGAATTGAACCCAGGTCTTTTGAAAGAACAACCAGTGTTATTAACCTCCGAGCCATTTCTCCAGCCCCTGTTACACCTGTCTTAACATCTAGTATGGATCCTTGGAATGCATGAGTTAAAATGAGTCAGTTCTCATTTTAATAACATTACATGGTTTGGGTTTTGTATTCTTAACTAAATACAGAGTTAGAATGAATTAGAAAAAAATCAAATGTTTACATTTCCCATTTGTATTTTATTTTCTGAAAATTTCAGACATTAATTTAGAATAATGTAAATGTTATTTATTTTGGCCATTAAAATAATAAATATAACAATAAGGGTGTTTTGAGACTGGCTTTATACTGCTGGAGAAAATAACACACAGAAATTTTTGTTACTACAGTCTGAGAAATAAGCAGTCTTAGCTAGTATTTCTTTAACAAGAAGCACACATATACAAACAATGAAACAGCAAACAATATTTTGTCACTATTATAAAGTAATGGTCCCCTGAAAGTGTTTCGGATTCTCCCAGCGGTCAGCAAGCCACTCAGGACTGCTGCTTAGTGGCACTCTCCTCATTGTCCAGAGGGTGGCAGTAGCTTTGACTCCAAGATTGGTGGCTTGGCTGTAACAAAGCTTCCCTCCAGTTTATTTTGGAGCGATTTCCTAATCGCCAAGGCAGCGTTTCTTTAGCAAGCATATTCTTGTGTTTTTAGCAGAGAAATCTTGAGCCCCCGCTATTTCGTTGGAGAAAAATACATTGCAAACTGTGCTACTCTTGCAACTAATCCCAGTATTTGTTTTAATCCATGTGTTCATTCACTAGTATTCAGCAAATACTTTCCTGCACTCCTTCCTGTCCTTTCTTACACCTTCCCCTCCCTCTCATCCCATCTCCTCCTCCTTCCTCTTCTTCCTCCCCTGACACCCACATTGTCCCTGAGAATGCCTCATGTAGGCCAGGGTGTCTTCAAACATGCAATGCTTCTTTGTCTCTGCTTCTTACCTGCGGGGGTTACATTGGTGCTTTCTGATTGACATATCCACAGACTACTGGGGCTAGTAATCCATGCTGTGTGCTGAATAAGTTCAAAGGTAGCTAAGAAAGAATAGGAAAAGATTAAATACAGACACCTCTTCCCCTGAGCTGTGTCTTCCCTTGGCTATGGTGACTTGGTTAAGCATTAGGAAGGAGATTTGCTCTTGGCCTAGGAAATTTCAGGCCAGATATGTTTTACTATTTGTGTAACATAGAACCTGTCATTAGGCATCAGTTTGTCTCACAGAGGGGAAATGGATACACACTGATGGTTAACGGAACTCCCACGGTGTGTTAGACTGAAACTAGGTCTTGGCCTTTGCTTTGCCTTTGATTTTAATATCCACATTTTTAAAAATTCAAAAATACATTTATTTTTGTGTATTAATACTTTGTTTACATGTATCTGTGTATTGCATATGTGTCTTGTGACCCAGAGTTCAGAAGAAGGCATTGTTTCTCCTGGGACTGGAATTACAGATGGTTGTGAGCCACCACGAAGTTGCTGGGAAGTAAATCCAGGTCCTCTGTATGAGCAACAAGCGCTCTTAAATGATGAGCCATCTCTCCAGCCCCAACCTCTGGATTTTTTTCTTTTAATTTTGTGAGTCAGTAAATACCACTATTTGCATCATCAACTTTGAAATTTCTATCATCTCAAAATAATTCTTGTATTTGTTCATGCCCTACGTACCAGTTTCAAAACCCTCAAGAGAGGAAATGGGGTGATTCAAAATGCATCACACCTGAAAACCTTCCTGACTTCCTTAGCTTCTCCAACACTGGATCTATCTTCGCCATATTGCCCTGGTACTCCATAAGTACCCCAAGTTAAGAAACTTAGTATCTTATATTGATCAAATATGTTCCCAGAGCTTGGAATATTTGAGCTGCCTAAGATCAGGAATCACCTCCCAGTCATCTTCATATCTAGCACAGTAACTAGTGCATTGGATGCCCAGTATAATCACTGCCACATTTCCAGGGGGCAATAGATGTGTGACAATGGTCTTGCACCTCTGGAGATCTCCAGTCCAGCCTCACAGTGACCCACTTAAAGGAGAACCACCCCAATGGGTACCACCACTGAGAAAATCTAGACTGCTCTCCATATTTCTCTGCCTCAAGCAGGGTTCCCGAGAGGAGCTGGGCTTCTCAATAATAATGATGAAGGATGTGGTGACGATAAGGATGAGGATGGTCTTCAAGCCTACCTAACTTCAGGTGTGTGGCCAAGGCTCCTAGCCTACCACTGACTCCAAGTAAGGATTGTGGAGGCTTACTGATCTTAGTAATCTCTTGGTTATCTCCTTGTCCTGTGGTTTTGCTGGGTTTCGTTTTTGCTCTTTCCATTACTTTTGGCATTAATTACAAGTATTTGCACCCACCATCTGAAATATTGAGTAATTTGTGCCTTCCTGTGAGAAAACATTCATCATGTAGAATTGTTTCAATGCTAACACTTACGTATGTGCAGCTAAGGCCCCAAGAGGTTCCCTAGACCTCCAACTCCTTCCATCACCAGTCAACCACAGATGACTGGAATCACGTGCATAAAGGTGTTCTTTCCAGAGGTCCTCATCAAAATTACAGACCTTCCATCAGAAACTTAAGGCTGACACCTTCTGAATCCAGGAACACATATGCTCACCAAGAATTTCTTGGACTCTCCTGCTGTGAGCATAGCTAAGAAAACCAACTCCACCCAGAATGCCCTGTACTAAAAACAAACTCCTTAACAGGAATGTTTAATGAACCCACACATTCCCACTGGGTGGTTTCCTTTAATGGGTGCAAAGCAAGGAATTACGAGGCTCTGTCAGGAAGACTTCTCTCAAGCCACAGCAGGACTGGAGGATTCATTGCTGGTATAATTCCTCTTCAGGGAGTCAAAGCTGAGTCTCCAGCCACTCCAGAGAAAAGCCCATTTAATTCAATACAAGGAAGGGTATTTTCCATTGAACAACATTGAGAATTTTGTGCTCTTCCCTCAAGTCCCAAAGCATGAGGTTATTGGTGCACATACACAGAAACTGTAAGGACTTGGGATGGAACCCTGCGTTAAAATAATCCAGGGGAAATGGTTCTGTTTGCTTTGCATTGTATTTGAAATGTGTAAATTTGAGATTATTTCCTTTTAAACAGTTTAAAATATATAATTCATTTGTTGCATATACAAAGCCTTGCTACTAACAAGTGTTTTTCTCATTTTCCTTATTTCCAATTAAATTTTTTAATTTGAATTGAAACAAGCTTGTTTTACATGTCAATCCCAGTTACCTCTCCCTCCCCTCCTCCACTGGCTCCCACCAACTCCCTATCCTATGCCCTTTCTGCTCCACAGGGAGGGTGAGGCCTTCCTTAGGGGATCTTCAAAGTCTGTCTTATCATTTGGAGCAGGGTCTAGCACCTCCCCCATGTGGTTAGGCTGAGAGAGTATCCCTCTATGTGGATTGGGCTCCCAAAGTCCATTCGTATACTAGGAATAAATACTGATCCATTACCAGAGGTCCCATAGATTGCACAGGCCTCCTAACTGACACTCATGTTTAGGGGGTCTGGATCAGTATGCTGGTTTCCCAGCTATCAGTCTGGGGCCCATGAGCTCCCCTTGTTGAGATCAGCTGTTTCTGTGGGTTTCTCTAGCTTGGTCTTGACATCTTTGCTCATCACTCCTCCATCTCAAACACCAATGACAGTTTATGCATGCTGGAGAGGATGTAGAGAAAGGGGAACACTCCTCCACTGCAGGTGGGAGTGCCAACTCGTGCAGTCACTTTGGAAATCAGTATGGCAGTTCCTCAGGAAAATGGGAATCAGTCTACCACAAGACCCAGCAATTCCACTCTTAAGCATATACCCAAAAGATGCACATTCATACAACAAGAACATCTGTTCAACTATGTTCGTAGCAGCATTATTTGTAATAGCCAGAACCTGGAAGCAACCTAGATGTCCCTCAACTGAAGAATGCTTGGGGAGAAAATGTGGTACATTTACATAATGGAGTACTATTTAGCTGGTGGGGGGGCAGGGAGGGAGAGGGTGATTGAATCTTGAAATTTGCAGGCAAATGGATGGAACTAGAAGAAACCATCCTGAGTGAGGTAACCCAGTCACAAAAAGACAAGCATGGGATGTACTCACTCATATATGGATTTTAGACATAGACCAAAGGATTACCAGCCTACAATCCACACTACCAGAGAAGCTAGGAAACAAGGAGGACCCTAAGAGAGACATACATGGTACCCCGGAGAAAGGGAAAAGGACAAGATCTCCTGAGCTAATTGGGAGTATGGGGTGAGGGGAGAGGGAGTTAGGAGAAAGAGAATGGGAGGAGAGGAGGGAAGAGGAGGACATGGGGAAGCAGGAAGACTGAGTCAGGGGAAGAACAGAGAAGAGCAAGAAAAGAGATACCGTAATAGATGGAGCCATTATAGGTTTAAAGAGAAAGCTGGCACTAGGGAAATGTCCAGAGATCTACAAGGATGGCCCCAACTAACAATCTAAGCAATAATGGAGAGGCTACCTTAAATCACCTTCCCAGATAATGAGATTGATGACTACCTCATATGCCATCCTAGAGCCTTTATCCAGTAGATGATGGAAACAAAAGCAAACATTCACAGCTAAACACTGAGCCAAACTCTCGTTTTCTTTATTAAAGCTGAATCAAATTAAATTATAATATAAAATACTTAACAAGAAAAAATCAATAGGTAATGTGGGAAATAAGACATCCATATGAGTACCTTACATTTCTGTTGAAAGAGACTACTATGACAACTTTAAAGCACTGACCATCTACCTATAAGAGATCTACATAAGCAGATGAACTCCAAGGAAATCAGTGTTGGTGAATAGTTTTAGTCCATTGTGGTGAGATGTACACCCAGAGCAGACACCATGCTGCAGTGAAAACATGAGTTACCAGTTGTTTAACACTTAGATGTCATTAGAGTCCCCACTTTTACACATTCTAAATCCTGATAAAATAGACTCCTTCTCTGACTAGAACACTCCCCTGCATGTGTTTCCAAACTAAAGAAATACCTTCCCACCCAACACTGATATGCTTAAAACCACTAGGATCTCTGGCTATAAAGAGTAGATTAATAAATATTGCCTTTAGAAAACTTTCAAGAGATATCCTATTTTAATTGTTAAATTAACTTGGCTGCATTGATCTCAGAATTACCAGAATTATTAAATGAATCCTTTAACTATATAACTCATTAAATATTTACGGTATGTGGGTCTTCCTCCAGGCGGAAGTTGGACACTGAGAGGGGAAAACAATGGCTGAGGTGTCCGTTCTAACCTTCAGGCTCTTGTCTTATGTGACAGTAGACTTCATCATACAATTTTCTCAAAATGAAGTTATTCTACCAAGAAGAATACAAAGAACATTTTCAATAACTAACTTTACATTTAGAAGATGAGAGAGATCTAAAGCAAAGCATTGAAACCCGGGGACATTTTCTGAGAAAATAGCGAAAATTCAACCAATAACTCACTCGACTTAAGCATAGGTATTGAGTTAATGATGGGGTCATTCCATAGTGGAAAAGCAAAAGAAACATAGCACCCATCCTCCTTCACCAAATGCAAACAAAAACCTCTCCAGATAGAACATGTTAAAATTAGTACCAAATGGCATCTTATTAAACGTGTGAGACACTTAGTAACATGTACAAATGAGAAATGAGCTGTACCAGGTAAGTGCACTGGATGCCTTAGGCATCTATGTGAGACTCAGTTCTGTTTTTTCACTAGAGATAGAAAAACACAACGGACACGGGACAGCTCCCTGCTCTGTTAAAACACAGGGCAAACGCAGGAACCTGCTCACCAGCTCAGGGCAGTTTTGCTGCAGTAGTACTGTGTAACCTGACAGTCTGAACCGTGTTAATGCCATGAGCCAGCCAACACTGCCACACAGTGTCAGTCATCACTTTGGTAGTCATTAGCATTCTTAGGTGAATATATTTCATGAAATACTGCCTTAAATAGCTGTTTATATGCTGAAGAATTCCTCACTAAAGCTGTATGTTACCTTGGTCAGAAAAGTAAACACAGTATTCATTCTATCTTAGTTTCTGTGTACCTCATGTAGCATACTATATCACACAGTACACACAAGGAGAGTTTGAGGAAAAAAATACATTAAAGGAAATATATAGTCTTGATTAACAGGAAAAATATTAAAAAACTGTAAGAACTACTTGTTTAGGAATTATAACATTTTCAAAGTGAATTTAAAGTCTTTAGCAAACACCATTTAAAATGTGGCAGGATCAGTCAAAGGCCACAACAAACTTTTAGTGCATTATGAGGTTTGAAAGGTTGACCATATGGTCATGAAGGCTGAAGAGGTGTACATTGTGATATTAATGTACACCCAACAACGTTTGCCAATTGGACATGTGTTGGTGTAAATCTAGGAGACAAGATGAGCTAAGTTAGTTCAGATCTCTGGTTTCCTCTGTGGTGCCAAAGATGCTGGGAAAGTGGAATCTATAAGCTTGAAAGTCTAGAAAAGCTGTTAGTAGGAATGTCTGAGTTCTGTTTTGTTTGCTGACCCAATGGTGGCAGTTAATAAAAAGATGCTCTCACTCTGCGACCCTTCAAGGGCTGTGGAGGACGATGATTACTCAACAGGAAAGCCGCCGTCTCACCCTCGGCTGTACACAGGAGGCTACGGAATCTGGCCAGCTGTTGAAAATTAGAGCAGAATTAATTTCACCACAGAAAGTCAGACTGATTTTAATTAGCTGTGTGGAAAAGATAAAAGAGTTGTAATCTTTCCTCTACCAGCATCTAAGAATATTGCAATGTAAGTTTCTAAGTTACAAGTCACAAATCATAAAGAATTGTTCTTTCAGTTCTCTTCATATATAAACAATGATGGATCTAAAATAAAGAATATAAACATTCTGCACTTGAGAATCAAAGTTGTAAAAGTAGGATGTGCTCTAAATAGTGCACACTGGCATTCACAGAACAGTTTTCCATTTGTCCCCTCTCTACTCTCCAACACACAGCTGACATTTTATGACAAGAATGTGCTCAAACATGCCTGATATTTGAAATCTGTTTTTCCATATAATACATGCTATAAGCATTTTTTGCATATCAATAAACACAAATTTACACACTACTTGTTCCAGAGCCCTGTACACATATTGTCTGTTATAAATGTGATTTATGAAATTCCAATTATCTGAGGGAATTTAATATTGTTTACGATTTTGAAAAAGCCTATTTCTGCAAATAAAGACTGGATAAATTGTCTGAGTAATCTTAACCTCATGCTTTGCAAAAAGAAACTGCTCATTAGAACAAGGTTTGCCATTTGGATTTTTGCTGTTTTGATGAAGACAAGTTAGTAAACTGTTATATTGGGAGCCTTTGTTATCTATAAAGTTTTAGCCCTTTAAACTCAGGGCCACATAAGTTAGGCTTCCATCCCCTTCATTTCTTGTACAGTATCAGCCAGGAGAGAGGCAGAGAAGAAAGAGACTCTCACTATTAACACAGCAGCTTATAACCATGGCCTGTGGATGCAGAGTCACCTACTCAGAAGCAGATTGGGTCTTCAAAAATGATATTCCATCATATCTTTTTAAGAAGCCAATAAGGAGACAAATGATTACAGCTTATGAATAGTCATTTGCATTAGAGTAGATCATTCTAGTTGAAAACTGGTAAGTCTTATGAGAAAGAATCACTGATGAAAGTCAGTGACAAAGGCTAATGTAATCCTGGTCATAACTCCAGTCAAAGTGATGGTGCTGGGAATGCATTTCAACTTCAAGACAGTGACCTATGAGCCTTCCAGAACAACACACTTCCCTGGTGACATCACTGATTGTTCAGAGGACCTGAGTTTTGTTTACACACACACACACACACACACACACACACACACACACACACACACACACACACACACACACGTGCCCTCCCGCACGCATGCACATACCCCATACAATTCCTCTGGAAGCTTGTTATGGATTCCTACGCCTGCATCCCTTTAACCTCACCGGTGGAGAACTGCATCTTACTGTGAACCTTTCTTCAGTCAGCATGCTCATTTACTAAGATTCCTAAGCCTCTCAGTACTCTCCATCACCTTGCCCAGCTAGGTAGGGCCTGGCAAGCCCTGCTGAGCTTGGTTTCTCTTGGCTTCGACATTCCTGGCTTGCTCAGATATCTTATCCCCTCACGTAGGTACAAGCCTACTCAGGCAGGAAACTTGCCCCTCTTTCACCACGGCTGACTCAGCATCCTCCCATTCTTGGCAGAGACATCCCAGCATTGCCTGGAGGCTGAGGTAGGTGTGACTGGCTTTGCTGGTTTCCTGGCCTCCACTACTAAGATCTTCATTTCCTGTAGTAACAACCTCAGCAAGATGAAATCCTTTTTTTTTTTTCAGAGTCCTCTAAGTAATTTTGTGTAACAATTGTGCTCAGTCATCTTTAAGAACTCTCCACTGCCTGCCAAAGTTGAGTAAGAATGAAAATAAGCTCCTTTCTGGAGCATAGTGATCCAGACACTGTGCTAATTGCCTTACTGTACATTATTTTACTTAATCCCCCAAATAACTTATCAACAATGTAGTTACCCCATCTCAGTAATGGCAATCTCAAGAGGCAGCTGGGGTATTTCAACAAATAAGTTATCTGTCAACTAAATCATCTACTACCACAGAAGTAAACTGCATTAAAATTTAAAAACAACCATCTTACTTTAATCAGCTTTCACTTAGCTTTTATTGTGGAAACATTAATAAAGTAGCAGGAATACTTCAAACACCGACACATGCTCCCTACTCAATCCACACTCCTATGGCTCAATGCGCTGACTTTGAGGAGAAATGTGGACATTGTATCATCCCAGTGCAAACATTTCAGAATGTATCTCTGTAAGAAGTAGCACTTCGAGCACTTTAATAGGAGCACAGTGTAACTGTGCAGCATCATTTCTGAGCCTTAGACTACCACCATCCTACTAACTTTTCTAGATCTTTCCAGATCAACATCTGCAGGTACCACACAGATACCACTTTTGTGAAGGTGATCTCAGAACACCTAAATGACAAGACTAGGGTAATTCCAAAAATCCAGACCTGGATCTCTGAACAAGAATTTGTAATAAGGCCTAGGGGTGCGCATTACATCAGTTTCTCCAAGGGGATTGCTTGACACACTCAACACTGACATCTACAAAGCAGCAGTCATATGTTCACATGCTCTTACTTCCAGAAATGCCCTTCTTTCCTTTACCCCACTCCACACACAACCATTTGATATCATTTAACTTTTAACCATCCCAATGCCTATTATTCATGACATGTCCCCGATGTCTCTCCCCTGAGAAAGTGTCTGATTAAGATTTCCACCATCCTGTCTTCCTAATGGTGGTGGTAGACACAGTCCACAGTGTAACAGTTCTGCACATATATTTTATCTTGTTAGATTACAATTTGTCAAGGATGAGGACCACCTTTACACATTATTTTATTCCCTGAACCATAACTTACAAAAAAAAAGCTCTAACATTTGGGAAACAATATTCCATAGCTTAGTATATTAATTTCAAAGACACAGAATTTGATATATGATCACAAAACACAAATTTTTCTCATAAAAATGGAATACTTTGGGTTTGCTTCTAGATAGGTCTTCCTAAGATCCTGAAGGTGATCTCCCTGTGGACAACTAAATATTCAGACACGCTATGAGAAAAGCAGTAGGAAGAAGTTGAATGTGGAGGACCACAGGTGGGGAATGCATGCTTGCTTAAAGGGGAAAAGAGGATGCTCCAAGTGAGGTCTGCTTCTCTAGCTAAAGGTCAGTACAGCGTACAAGGTATACACAAATGCAATGTGCACTTCTCTTGCAGGAAAATGACCAAATAGAGGAACCTCAAATTCTCTGCCCATATCTCTGACTCATCTATTAACTACACTTGGGGGACAGACTCCAAGCCAATCCACTGCAGTAAGACCAAGCCTGTGGCACAGGAAACAATATGATCTTCTGTCCCACCTCAAATAATTACTTGCTAAAGGTACAGAAAAAGACACTCATCAGAGGAAAACAACAGAATATAGGGTTTCTACAACCTAACATATCATACAATGAAGTGAAAAGGCTACATGACACCCTGATTCAAGACAACGGAGCACTTTCTCAATGAAAGAATAGCTAAACACTGTAACTTGTAACTTTACTCCAGGTTATAGGAACTTAAACGAAGTAAAGGAGAATTTCAAATAATTAAAATAAAAATAAGATTGAGAACCAAATAGAAATTTTAGAACTAAACATATGTCCTCAAAACTAAAATTTTCCCAATATAGAACTTTCTAGAAAGACTGACATGACAGGAAATAAATGTAAATGCATACAAACAGAAAACATTTATGATGGTTAACACATAAGCAACAATACTGAAGTGTGGCCTCTGGCTTCCATATACACCCACTCTCAACACTCATACACAAACATACATACTTGCAAACACACACACAGCAACACACACACACACACACACACACAGAGAGAGAGAGAGAAAGAGAGAGAGAATGGCAAGCGATTTGAACAGAGATTTCACAGGAGATACACGCATACACAATTAGTGTATACATGAAAAAAAACTCGGCATCACTAGTTATGATACAGGCAAACTAAAATCACACACACACCTGTCAGATAAGCTAAATTAGGAAACTGAGAGCATCAAATGCTAGCAGGGAAACTGAGCTACAAGAAATCTCATAAAACACTGATGAAAAGAAGGTAAAGCGATACTGTCACTTCAGAAAACAATGTGTTAGCACTTTATAAAATTAAGCATTCCTGGCTTAGTAATTACAGTTGTTAGCACTGGTTCAAGATAAATGAAAATGTGCCAATCCAAGTGTGTATATCAATTACTCCCATATTCAAATGTGAAACAAACTTGTTCATAGTAACACGGATTTGAATGTCCAGTTGCTGCACAGAATTTTTAATGTGATATATATATATCATATATATATGATGCAATTGACTTTACACCAATAATAAAAATGAGTGAATAAAACCTGTAATTATTATACTAAAGCCAAACACAAAAATTTATCTACTAGCCAGGCCCTGTGGTGCAGACCTGTAACTGAAGCAATTTTGAAGGGAGGGGTAGGGTGTGCTCATAAATTCAATGCCTTCGTAAGCTATAATGTGAATTCAATACCAGCCTAGGTAACTCAGTGAGTTTATCTCAAAATTTAAAATATACATACAAATAATATTTGCAGACTGAGGAGATTATACTTAGGAGTATATATGAATACATGCATATATACATACAGTAACAATGTAAAAAGAGATCATGAATTTAAAGAGAGCAAGGAGGAATATATGGAAGAGTTTGGAGGGAGAAAAGGGAGGGGAGAAATGTAATTATATAATAATCTTAAAACTGAAAGAAAGAGAGAGGGAGGAAGGAAGGAGGAAAGAAAGAAAGAGAGATTGAGAGAGAAAGAAAGGAAGGAAGAAAGAAAGGAAGAAAGAAGGAAAGAAGGAAAGAAAGAAAGAAAGAAGGAAGGAAAGAAAGAAAGAAAGAAAGAAAGAAAGAAAGAAAGAAAGAAAGAAAGAAAGAAAGAAAGAAAGAAAAGGAGGTGAGAATGTCGTTCAGTGGTTGAATGTTGGCCTAGCATGAGTGAGGCCCTGAGGTCTCCTGTCACAGCATTTAAAAAATCAGATCTATGTACTGTTTGATTCAGTTAAATGAAATCCTAGAAAATGAAAAACTCTAGTGACAGCATAAGAGTGGTTGATGGGCCTATGACAGGAAAAGAACAAGTGCAAAAAAAATCCCAGTAAGCTCTTTGGCCAAGAGATCTACCCTGTCTTCATTGTGATGGTTGAAGTATAATCACCAAAATCAGTAACAGGCACTCAAGTTTGTGACTTTTATAACATACAAATAATGTCATAATAACTGTTTTTCAAGAAAAAGATCAAAGCCAAGTATTTTTCACACTGAATTTTAGCAATTCGGTACCCTCATCAGTTAGGCTACTCCAAAGGGGCACGTAAGAAAAAGCCAGGTTTCAAAGAAATGAGAGAAATTTATTCTAAGTGCCAAAAGCAGTCTGTTTATTACTGCATACAGTTAAGCCAGGGAGTCAAAACTCAATAAATTGACTCTAAGAAAGAAAAGTTATTTAAATTAAAAATAAGAAAGTTTAAGAGATTTAAGAAAACTATATCAAGTTTAATTTTCTCTTTAGGTCAAATAATAACTTCACAAGAAATTGTAACAGAAAACCCTTGGGGGCAAGTAATATAGCAACAAAGTAAGGTGTACACTTCAAAGCTGGTAGCATTATGTATTGGAATTGAAAAACTAATACAGACAATATTTCTCTGTGATCTTCAAAAGAAAGAGATTCCGCCGGGCGTTGGTGGCTCACGCCTTTAATCCCAGCACTCGGGAGGCAGAGGCAGGTGGATCTCTGTGAGTTCGAGACCAGCCTGGACTACCAAGTGAGTTCCAGGACAGCCTCCAAAGACACAGAGAAACCCTGTCTCGAAAAACCAAAAAATAAAATAAAATAAAATAAAATAAATAAAAAAAAGAAAGAGATTCCAACATTGAGATTTAAAGCTAGTTGTAGACTGAGAATATGGCTCAGAAGGTAAAGCCATTTGCTACACAAGTAGGACAATCTGGGTTCAAGCTGTAGAACCCACAAATAGGTAGACGGAAAGATCTAACTCAACAGAGTTGACCTTTTTTCATCCACATGCACACTTCGGCATATACGTGCCCCCCAACCCCTCACATCTGTCTCACACATACATAAATAAATAAAATTTTTTACAGAATTAAATGTTTTAAAAATATTTAGATGAGTAACTTTAAATGAATAATTTAGGACATTTTGTCTATATACATAAATGCTGAGCAACTGAACAATTCTTCCATTTTTTTGCATTTTATAAGTTTCATATTTTTGGAAAAATTCAAATTTACAGAACTACTTCAAAGAGGCTACAAATATTCCCCACATATTCCAGACTCAGCATCCCTATTAATCACGTATTACATTCTATGCTGCACTCTTCATAACTGTTGATGTGACAGCAACTTGGCATCATTAATTTATCTCTCCTGTACTCAGACTGCCTTTGGTTTTGCCAAATAATGACTTTTCTCTACTTTCTTCTGTTTTTCAGCCCTGGGGGTTGCACTCCAAGTCTTGCAGGACACCAGACAAGTGCTCTTCCACAGAGCTAAATCTCCTGGCATTCTTTTGACATTTCTTGTTAGCTTCTCAGTCTCGTATCGCTTTTGACAACCCTGACATTTGGGAAGCAGTCCAAATTAAGTGTTTTATGTTATGGCCCCTAACAGGGCTTCGCCTTAGATTTTTCTTTCCCCATGATTAAGTTGAGATTGGAGTTTTTAAAATATATTTTTCTTCATTTCTTAAATTCCTTAAATAATCATTTGAATGGTCATTTAATATCTTCCTCAGTCTGGTTCATTGAAATATCTAACAGTGTCCCAGTTGCAGCCAATTTAAGTTAATGTTTCAAAGGAAATTGCCAATCCACAGGAGTTCTGAAATTAAGCCATTCACTCACATACTCTCATACATGAAAAGTCACATTAACAATTTTAGTTCAATGAGCCCCAAATATAACACAGCAGTGAATATACAGTTGAGGCTAGGGAATTACTTTTAGTAAGGTTCCTTTTATTATCAGTAAGAAATTAAATTATATATTTTCGCTAATGTTCTCATCTAAATCATTCACGGATTGGGGAAAAAAACAATAACTCAGTTATTTTGCAAGTGCCTTCAAAGAATAAAGATGGTCTTTAACTATGAAGGAAAGCATTATCCATGCGTCATCAGCCATCTTGAAGTTATAATACTTAACTAAGTTTTTGAAGTTTAGTAAATGAGCAAAAATCTGGAATTTAGTCAGTGAAAGGAAGAAAATTCACCGCATTTATAAGGCCACTGAATCAGAAGCAGGTCCTTGTTTTTCTCATTAGACGATGGACAAAATTCATAGGTCTCCTGGGTTTTTAACTGCATAGGAGTGCTTTGTCTGCATGTGTGTCTATGCATCACTGGCAAGCCCAGTCTGTCAAAGGTCAGAGGAGGAGGATGGATTCCCTGGGCCTGGAGTTACAGACCACTATGAGCTGCCACGTGGGAGTTGCAGCCAGTACTCTTAATTACTTAGCCATCTATCCAGTCCCAGGAGTCCTGGATTTTATCCAAACTTTTATGAAGTATTTTAATAAGTATGCACTAGGTTGTATTTGTCTGTAAACCTAATACAAAAGTAATAAGAGGAAACACTCAACACAAGCTAAGTGTTCACCCCAAGGGAAAAACGTGTCCTGAGATGACCTTGGAAAGCGAAACCAGACTTAACCTGACAGAGGTGAGCTGGAGAACACATAGCCAGGCAGATACGCAGGCCCAGAGCAGGAGGGAATACTAACTCACTGCAAAAATAACTAGACCTGCTGCTGTGAAGATTTCAGTGGCTAGCTTTAAAAAGCTAGACAGACATGAGACAGTCTACTAAGAATGTAACGTTTAGGAACATGCTGCTAAGGACTTACAACATCCTGAGACTCCCTTTATTTGACCCCATCCCTGTGAAAGAGAGATAAAAATTTACAAGGAAAAATGCCGAGTAAACATTTTGCCAAGGAGGGCGCAGGTGAGAGCAGCCTCTCAGCAATGTTCACTCAGGCAGCCCCACAAAAGTTCTGTTAACAAAAGCCAAAATGCAACCGTCATTACTGCAGTAGAAACATGTTTCAGGAGAGCTGCCCTCCTGAAGGTGTAAGTATATAGCATTTCCTCTCCTTGAAGCTATTGGGTATGCATATTTCTCAGGGTGCGGTGCCTGACACTGATCTCAGTGTTCACTGCTGAATCTGTGGGAGCAGCAATCTAGGGACTGAGGGGAGAACAAAGGATTGCCTTTCTTGAGGTGCCTCGATACTAGCTGTCCTCTCTGTATGGGGCTGTTTCCTTGCCAAAAAACTGAAACAAACAAATAACAAAAACCAAAAGCAAATAATCAGGCCTTCAAAATGATGCTTCACCCTCAAAGAAGCTTACAGGCAGTGGTTCTCAACCTTCCTAATGCTTTGATCCTTTAATGCTGTTCCTCATGTTGCAGTGACCCCCAACCATTATTTTTGTTGCTACTTCATAACTATAATTTTGTTTCCCTTATGAATTGTAATGTAAATATCGGATATGGGACCCTGTGGATGTCATGACCCACAGGCTAAGAACCACGTATAGGTTAAGAACATAACATTTCTGAGCAGTGATTAAAGTAAGGACTTATACAAAAGGTTATTTAAGAGTGATCAAAACTATGTGCCTCGAATAGTGGCACATGCCTGTAATCCCAGCACCTGGGAGTCTGAAGCAGAAAGATCCTATTTCAAGGTTAAGCTAGGCTACATAGAAATATCTGGTGGGAGGAAAGAATGAAGGAGAGAGAGAGGAAGGAGGAGTACAAGTCATATTTAGTCCAACCATTCACCTAATTAATCAAAGAAAATATCAGACTCCAAAATATGAGAGAAATACAAAACAGCATTTAAAAAATGACTCAGCATGCTGTTTCCCCTGAGAACATCACACTTGACTTGGAAGAATTGCCATACCTGTTGAGAGCTGATATTTATAGGCTGTTTTAAAACAATCCACGTGACACTCTCAAGGAGAGGTGGAACCGTTAGAGAACCAGGGTATGTCCAGTAGTCCCAGGATGGTGGAAGCAGGGATAATGGGTCAAAATTTGTGAATCGTGTTTGTTTACCCTGTAAAAATAAAGAGAATTAATACAGATTACAAATCACATACACACACACACACACACACATTCAGATTCTGTGTGATTACTATCATCCACTAATATTTTAGTAAAGCACATTTCTGCCTTGATCCAAAAAGGAACAGATGCAACAGCAAATTCTATGGATTCATTTAAGAAGGATAAGAGTCAGGCATATACCTATATCCTTATAGTCAAGAGGTAGAGCAAGAGGATCATGAGTTCAAAGTCAGCCTGAGCTTTAAAGGGAATAACAGACTAGTATGAAATATGTAGAGAGATCCCAGGTCAAGAAAAATTTTTATTTTACATAAATAGTCTTTTAAATAAGTTAAAACATAAATCTTGTTTATAAAATTATAGTATTAAGAACTTAATTTATTGGTGATTATTTTAGATAATGGCAGACTCTACCACATTGAAAAGATAAGTGACAGTAAATTTTTTCTTCAGTTTTAGACTGGTAAGTTGAGTCTTGCTTCAAAGAAAGCAGGAGAAGCTCTGTCTAATGTGTAAGATTTCAAAAGAAGGCAAAAGAATTCAGGAGCGAAGCAAGCTGTTAGTCATTAACAAGTAGTAATTAATTTTACCTTTTCCTTAATGGAATCCAAAATGTCAGGGATCTTTTGTAGTTGGGGATTGTGTTCCCCAATCTAAAAAAAATGTAAAATTTCAAAACAGAAATAGTTACAGTAGCACATCAAAAGGAGCATTGCATTTCAGTCCTTTAGTCTTAATCACTTTCTAAAAGCCAGAATCAGCTCAAGCCTACAGTGACTGTCCTAGAACAAAAGTTCTCTTCTACCTGACAAGTTAATTATGCCAGAAGAATTTGAACAAGATATTATGGGTATCCTAGACTGCACCTACAGTCTGGTTCCAAAGCTGGGAGCAATCGCTTCACATGTTTCAGACAGTTTACAAAAGATTTGTTTTTATTTTTATTTTATTTACTTTTGCATATGTGTGTATGCGTATTAGCCATGTATATGTGGATGCCCAAGAAGTCTAGAAGACGGTGTTGGATTCTCTGGAGCTGGAGTTACAGGCCCTGGTGAGCAATTTGACTAGAGGTTGAACACTAGTCCCCTGGAAGAGCATAGAATACTCTTGATTTTTGAGTCACATTTAAGATACAGGTTAGCTTGAGATAAAGCCTGTTTAGGAAAGTGGCTGATGATTAACAGCTGTAACATTCGGATCCAGACTAACTGGGCTACTACCAAATCTTTCATGAAATTTTCGATCTCCTACTTGCAGTCTTAAGTTACTTGAAGTCCCGGATCAAGGGGCTTTACCTTGAAGAGCAAATGCTTCCGAAACATATGCTTTTCACAGATAGGAGTGTTTTCAATCTACCTAAAGGTTTAAACCCTGTAAGATTTGAGCACCTTCTCTTATCACACCTGTATCCTCTTGTTACCACCTAGGGTTCATAGAAAAGTCCTGGCTTTTCCCAACATCACTCCCGGTCTCTGCCTCTCAGCCCCACCCCAGCTCCACAAGTTACAACATCACACTGATAATGAGGCATGGAAAACTAACACACCCTAAAGAAACTGTCCCCAGGCGTGATAACAAGACTTGCCTGTCCCCATGCAAATATCAGAAAAGGAGAAGTTGGAGACTTTTTTTTTTCTAAGAAAAAAGGTTTGAGATGATTTGCCAATATGGTCAAACATGGGCTTCAAGAATCCTGAGCTTGAATTTTCCGCTGTTCTAGGTCTCTAAACATTGAAGTCGGGAACCAGATGAGCCTACATTTCTTCTTGAGATTTCAGCTGTTACTTCTGCTGCTATTCTTGCTGACGCATCACTTGCTACTCATATACAAATCCTCAACTAGCAATATGGAAAAATAGTGAGATACTGTTTCCAAACTATTATGGAACTTTTTACTGGTCACTTAAAAAGGGAAATATTAAATTTAGAACTAGCTTGCTATCTAAAGCTAGTTGAATGCTATTTAGAACCAGTTTGCTCTTTAAAACTAGTTGAATGATATTTAGAACTAGCTTGCTCTTTAAAACTATTAAGGTGCAACAGCAGATTCTCACCTTTAGAAATACTCCCAGGACAGCCAGTCCATCTGACGCATGAGCTGCCTCTACAAAGCTGGGGTATTTGTCTGAATTCCAGTGGACAACATGGAGCTAGAAAGAAAGCACACGACATAGTTCAAACATTCACATAAGCATGGCAAAAAAATGTAAATGAAAATGCAAATGAAACACCGATGTAACTGTCTGAAGCTGGGGCCTCAAGTAGGTAAGGAGTCTGTAGTAGTCTGAATGTAACTGGCCCCCAAAAGCCCATAGGAAGTGGTACTATTAGGAGGTGTGGCTTTGGTGAAGTAGGTATGGCGTTGTTGGAGGAAGTGTGTCACTTTGGGGTAGGCTTTGAGGTCTCCTACACTCAAGCTACACTCAGTGAAACAGTTCACGTCCTGTTGTTTGGAGATCAAGATGTAGAACTCTCAGCTCCATCTCTAGCACTATGTCTGCCTGCATACCACTATGCCTCACCTTGATGATAATGGCCTGAACCTCGGAAACTGCAAGCTAACCCAATTAAATGTTTTCCTTTATAAGAGCTGCCATGGTCATGGTGTCTCTTCACAGCAACAGAAACCCTAAATAAGACAAAATCCTTTGTCCTCCAAATCTACTCATATAAAATGGGACCAGAATAAAAATTGCAGGGTCCTACCTATCTGTGGTAAACTATTTGAAAGCTCCCAGTTTCTCCAGTCCTACCACACTCCAATATTGTTCTTATGTGACCTGGAGCCTCTGCCCCTCACTGAAGTTACTGCAAATGATCAGGCATGAGTCAGATGGGGTTTACTGAGGTTCCTATAAAGTGGCTGCTGATAACAAGGTTACTTCTGAAACTGACCTATCATATATTTGTCATTGTAGTCTCACATTTTTGTTGCTGGGAAATGCAAATTCTCCTTATTATAAACTATTGTGGACCTAGTCATGTTTTTATTATTAGATTATTTGTACTGTTAAATGATAGCTACATACATCTGTAGGGTACCATGTAATGTTCTGATGTAGGGATACAATATTTCCATGATCATATTGAGCTGACTGACATAGGCATTTACTACCTTATATAAATATATTCAGATCCTTTGCCAAGAACAAGTTTGGATGGGGAAAAGAATGCTTTAGGTCAAAGAATCACAGGTGTCTGAACATGAAGAGAGGCAGCTAGTGCGAGGAGAAAGGGAGAGAGGTTTGAGAACTTGAGACTCTTGAAAAGGCTCTGCCAACTTTACAACTTAATTATCATGCAAGCAGACATTTGCAAAACCCAACGAAAACCTACATGTCGGAGCACATGAGCAATAGAGTATCCTGAACACAGAGGAATATAAAAAAACTGTAGAATAACCAAGATGACTACCACTTCAGTTCTTCTTGAGAGAAGGACAGAGAGAAGCCAAAGGGCATTATGCCATGCCCAGAAGATTTAGTTCCTATCATAAACATTGAAGGCCAGCCCATGTTGTTACAAGCAAGAACTGATGATACCAGGGACCACCTTAGATAAGAATCCTTAAAGATCTGCTTGGTCATTCAAAAAGGGAGCAATCATTCAGCCTTCATGCTCAAATCACCCTCACAATCAATTGTGTCACAGAGAGGATTTGGCAAATATAAATATATACTTTCATCCCCATCCTTAAAATTAAATTCCTCATCTTACAGGAAACTAATATGAAGAGTTTCTGATTAGATAAGAATTATCATACACACTCAACTATAAAACTATAAAATAGCGCAACAATCATGTGTAATTGAAGGAAACAAAGGGATATTCAGAAAGACACATACCAAGGTGGATTCTAGTTGGTGTGAGATAGTAGGGGGAAGGAAGAATCCTGAAAACACTGGATGTTGAAACAGGTTCACATGGCTCAGGAGACAAAGAACGTTCCGCTGTGGGGATGGGCCGTTGAGGGCACTAAAGTTGTTTCAAATGGCTTGGTGCCAATTACAACAACTCCTCAAATAGCTCGCTTAGTGAGAAATGGCATCAAAGAGTCAAGAGCGCAACTGGTTAGAAAATGGGTGTGTAAACACAAAGAAAGAAATCTCCTATGCTGACACCCTTCTGCTGACTAAGCAACAACTGTTTGAAATATGATAAGAAACCAGAGCAAGAAAACCTGTTTTTAAAAAAGGCCTCTTCTCCCCCATATAACCTTATAATACCTTCATGGAGTAACTGGTGTCACTTTCATAGTTTGGCTTTTTTTCCACATTAAAAGTAAACAAATTAACAATCTCTACTTCCTGACTAACAGGGATGTTGATTAGGGATGAATAACAGGTAATTAGCCCCCACAATAATCAGATTAAGATTCTTTCCACAAGGTGCAGTAGCACACAACTTTAATTCCAACATTTGAGCACCAGCAGAGGCAGGTAGATTTCTATGAGTTTGAGGTCACCCTAATCTATATAGTGAGTCCCAGGACAGCAAGAACTACGTTGTGAGACTCTTTAGGAAAACAAAAAAGATTCTTACATAATGGCAAAATAATTTCTAAATATAACTTAACTTCGGTGCTTTTAAGATGAACATTTGTAATATGCTGCCAAGTAGTATGACAAAAATCTACCATTAATGTGGAAATCTGAATTGTGCATCCCCTACATCAAGGTGTTAGCTTTCCATCTGTCCTGAGGTCATCCCTTTATAAAAAGCAAAAGTTTATTCAGGCTCACAGCCTCAAGGGTGTCAGCACACCATCAGCTAGCCCCTGTTTTTGGTCTGTGGCAAAGCAGTATATCTCAGCTGGAGTGCCTGGCAGAGCAAACTGGTCACCTCATGACCGGGAACCAAAAAGTCAAATAAAGGAGCAAGGTCCTACTATGCTCCTCAAAGGCACTCTGGTAATGATCCAAAGACTTCCTCTGAGGCTGCTTCTTTCAAAGGTTCATCAGCCTCCCAATAACACCACCCTGGAGAGGAAACTTTTCAATAAGTGGGTTTGTGGGGGATAGTTCAGATCAACCATTACAAGGATGGAGGATCCATTACCAAATACAGTTTCCAACACAGACTTTTAACCTATACTTTATATATCCACATGAAAGGAAAAAGAGTTTATTTGGGCCTAGGGCTCCAGAGAGTTAGAGTTCATGATGGTAGGGAAATACAACAAGCTGGTACTAGGCGTGGTGGCTGGAGCAGCAAGCTGGGAGCTCCTATCTCAAACTGTAAGCACAAGGCAGAGACAGTAAACATTAAATATGGCAAGACTCTTTGAAACCTCAAAGCCTGCCCTCAATAACATTATCCCCCGCCCGCAAGGCCAAACTTCCTAGACCTCCCCAAATAGCATCATCAATAGGGAACCAAGTGCTTAAATGCATGAGCCTATGGGGTTATTCCCATTCAAACCAGCACTACATGTGTTGGCACAAAATTTTTCATGATGAGATTTCTTTAACCTCTCTGTAATGCCACAAATCATAGTTGAAACATTACATTTTCATGTGTTGCGATTTAAAATGCCTGTTTTCTTTCCTGTTTCAATTTCATGATGGGACATAACTTGATTACAGCTATGTTCTTAAGCAAAGGTGTCTAGAAAAGCTAATAACACATTGGCGCCATCTCCAGAACTGAGAATGAAGGGATTTTTCTGAACTTTAGGCCAAAAGTGAGAGACTCCCATACATTAGCATTTCTAGCATTGACATCCTCTTTAAATTCCAGGATTGTATCTACAGCCTGCTGAAGCTCAGCATCCTGGCAATAGGCAAGTACCACTGACATGGCCTTCCAAGTCTATCATAGACCTCCCTAGTGACGCTAACTCCTGCTCAAATTATCGCTGTCCACCTCAACTCTTCCGCAATCTTCTGCTTTGTCTCCTCCTCCAACATCTGCCCCACAACAGCCTGTTCTCCACTTGGCAGTCAGATACGTTTTAGCAAGTAGGAAGCAGACCAGGTCAGTGCTATGCAGGGCAGGATTCTCCCCCTTTTCTCTCTTACCAAGCCCAGTCCTGGAAAGCAAAGCCTTACCCTTTCTCTTCCTTAGCTCGACGACCTCATGCCTACCTCACAGCACTTTTTGCTGCTGTGTTGCCTTTCCCTGGGAAGCCCTGTGAGTCAGGATTTTTCTCACAGTGCTTTCTCCTTGTCCCTTTGTCTCAACTTACACACCATCTCAAAGAAGCCTTTCCTGCCCTCCCCCACCTCCAGCTGCTCTTCAGATCACATGCTATCATCTTTGCCGGAGAATTGAACACCTATCACTTCATTCCTCTCCCCTGAGGACAGAGCAAGTACTGCAACACAAAACCCTGCAAAAACGGACACATGGGATGGCAGCCTCAGAGGCCAGGCACACATCAAACAAATATGGAAACTGGAAAAGAAGATGCATTTGCTGCATTTTCTGAACAGCGTTGTCCTGGGTGTCTAACAAAACCTCGGAAATATTAAAAGCTTAAGGGAGACTGTACCACCTGGTAACTAACTGCTCAGTCTTGCCTAGATAATTCACAGGCCAAGGTTGGTTCACTCATATAGACTTTGTTGAGTCACACAATACTTGGCTTTCATCTCTCAGTAAAGTTCAGAGCAATTTCATGGTATTAAGATGAGGGGTATATCACACTCTGTATTTTAAGCAGAGGGTTTAGTCAGAGCATTGGCAACGAATGAAGTTTTAACAAAAAGGACTACCTTACCAGAGAAAAGGGAACAAGACAATGGATCATTAAGTTTCTGCTTGAAAGGAATAGTGTCAGCTCATAACCCCCAGACTTGTTATTTTTTGTGTTATTGCTGTTTGGTTTTGTTTTATCAGATAGAATCTTGTCATATATCCTAGGCTGCTGGCCCGGAAGTCCTGATCCTCCTGCCTTGACCTCCCCAGTGCTGGGATTACAGGCACACAACACCGTATTAAGCTCAGTTTACTCTTTTCTGAATATATAACCAACGCTAAGCTCTCAGAGTTGGTTCAAGGCTATGAAAGGCCCTATTTGAAGCTCTCCTGTGAGGTGAGCGATGCTGTCTCAGACACAGGTGTCTAAGCAGTTGCGGAACTGCTGGGCTCTGGGAGGCGTCCCCTATGGAGCAGGCTGTGTGTGCCGCTTACCTCTGCAGCGTATCTCACTCCGTCGACCACGTGCTCAGAGCCATGGTCATCTGCGGACCCCCAGTGCAGGTGGAACTGGCGCAACCTGTAGCTTCCGGTGAGAGGCCCTCCACGCAGAACTAAATACCAGCACATTTTAAATGGTTAGCCAGAAAAACTACTTTTACCCAGCCCGTCAAAACCCGTAACTTCTCCCTGAACCACTAAACACATTCCTGTTCTTAAAATTTGCTCACTTTGCAGACACCGATACAACTTGATATATATTAAGAGTGGAAACAAACACTGGAAACAGAGCCCACCATGTAGATTTTGTGAAATTCTTAGCAAGTTACAACACACCCACAGACGGCAGAGAGAAATGAGTAGAATTCTCCAAAGTGAAAATCCGCTCTGTTTAACTGAAAGCAAGCCAGATTCTCTGAATAAGAATACGAAATGCAAAAAGGGTTCCTTGTGAGCTTGGGAGAGCCAAACAGCTTGTCTGATTCGATACAGGCTCTGCAGGATGTCTGGACGGCCAAGGTCTGAACTTTCTATATCTGCATGGTCTTGGACAAAACCTAACTTCTAAGCTGTGACTTGTTCATCTAACTACTGGAGACAATGACACAATCTCACTACCACTACTATGAAAATAGAAGAAACATGGTAAGCAAGGCACTTTCCAAGGCCGGGCACACAACAATACTGGGGATGTGCTACCCACTGCTACCATGGCATGCCTGTGGCTATAACCATAAATAGGGGATCACCTTCTGTGCTTAGAGTCTGTATTTGTGAAGAAACATAAGATATAGGAAGATATTAAATTATTTTTAAAACTCTAATATGTCTTTATCACTTTGAAGAAGTATATTTCAGTGTTTTCCTTCAGCAAATATAATCTCTAAGATTGTGTTAATAAAATTACATCACAAGTATGTAGAAACATACTTTATTACAGAGCAGCCCTAAACTAGGCATAGGGGCACACGCCTGTAACTTGGCTTACTGGGCTATTCAGAGAGTGTGAAGCTAGCCTGTGCAACCAACTAAAGAGAAAGAAAAGAAGGAAGGAAGGAAAGAAAGGGAGGAGAATGAAAGGGAACAGAAGAGAGTTGTAAACGATTTCTGCCTAATTCTGTTGTATGCTGCAGACATAGGGACAGAAAGGAAAAACATTGTATGCTAAATACACCATAAACATCACTAAACTCCACCAAGATACAGCAAGATTGGGTTAGACTGGGGAAACAAAGACTTAGCAACAGATATTTAAATTTCTCCTTAGAGAGTTACGAGTGATTTGTGTGCACACATCACACACACTCATTCTCGTGCACACACACACACACACACACAGTATTAAGTTTTAAAACTTATCCACCTTATATGAAAAAGCATTTAGATGTAGATATCTTTATAAAACATAAGGGTGGGTTAGGAGGGATGGCTCAGAAGTTAAGAGTGCTTGCTGCTGACCCAAGTTCAGGTCTCAGCCCCCATGTCAGGTGGCAGGCCACTCCAGGGGATCCAGTGTCCTTTTCTGGCCTCCACTAGCACCCACATGCATGTGGCGCACAAACACACACACATAAAATTAAAAATGATGCTGCCAAATGATACCTGTTTCAAAGCACTCTGAAAAATAAAGAAGAGACCACCTTCCATCAGTTGGTGAGCTTGCTCCTGCTTTCCTTGGTGAGACCGTACTTTTATTGCTACTCCTTGTGCTGTGCTGAATGAATGAAAGCAGAGACGGGGATCCTGCTACCACCACCACCTAGCTTAGTAACTGTCAGAGGAGATGCACAAATGTCTGATTGATTTGTCTTTAAATGATTCACCGTGATTGCCCTGAGTGACGCCAGTCATACAGTTGTTGCCCAGCCCTGCACTGACTGAGGATGGAATGGCACCTGAAGGAAAGTAGTCAAGGGCTCTATTGTGCTTTTCTTCGTTGCTGTTGCATAACAAAATCTGAGCTGGCCAAACAGCCATTCGCTTGCAGATAGAAAGGAGATTAGAGAGCCTGAGTAATCAATGTGGAATTGACTTTGGGAGGAGGCTCAGGCAAGCTGGCTCTGGAGAAAGAAAATGATACAAACAACACACATTGTTAGGGAGACATCCAAGAATAATGGCTGTAGAGTTCACAGTTACAGTCAGGTTAGCCGGCTTTGCCTGGCTAAACAGTGGAGATCTCTTTACAGGTTACATATTCAGACTGCACAGGTCAGTATTTCAGAAAAATATCCAAGTGAATTCATGATAAGCAAATGCCTAATTGTGGAGAAGACTATTTTCTGAATGGGAGTCTTCAAAGAAAAATCGGGTAAGGAAAAGTGAATTTAAAATATCTAGGTTTAGCCAGGCACTGGTAATGTGCACGTCTTTAAAGACAGGATTTGGGAGGCAGGAGCAGATGGATCTCTGAGTTCAAGGCCAGCCTGGTCTACAGAGAGAGTTCCAGGACAGCCAGAGAAACCCTGTCTTCAAAAACAAAACAAAAACAAGCAAACAAACAAAACCCTATATTTTTAGGGTCTGTAATAAGACAGCTAATCTGTAGTACAAGATTAATAGTGATAATTTCTTTCTTTTTAGCTTTCTTTGTGGGAGGGTGGGATGAGACAGGGTTTCTCTATGCAGCCCTGGCTGTCGTGGAACTCAGATCCACCTGCCTTTGCCTACTGAGTCCTGGGATTAAAAGCATGCACCACCACTGCTTCCTTTGGGTTTTTTTTTTTCGTGATCCTCCTACTTTAGCCTCATTGTCAGAAAGTTCAAGAAGGGTCTTAATGATTACCTGGCCCCGCCTTGATGTAAGGGGAGGAGCTGGGTCCTTCCTCAATTTGATGGGTTATGCTTTATGAAAGCCCATGGGAGGCGATCCCTTTCTGAATAGAGATGGAGGAGGAGTGGTTAGGGAGGGCGGGTAGATGGCAAAAGGGAGGGGAGAGGAGGAGAGGAGAGAGGGGAAACTGGTTGGTATGTAAAATGAATGAAACAAAGGTTATTTAAATAAAAAATCAGATATCAAAAAGAATAGAGTCGTGTGAGAAGATTGAGTGCTTGTGAGAAAACCCTAAGAAAATAAGACAAGTCTTGTGACCTCAATTTTTTCAAAAGCATAGAAATGTTCTTGGAATGTGTTGTGCTCCTCCCGGAAGTAGCAGTCATCATTGCTTGCTGCCCTTACCTCTATATGCCTCTGGAGAAAAGCATGTTTTTTCTAAGTGAGGCTCGCCCACCACATGAGACTTGCCCTTCCCACTGGACATTTTACTCATGTGGCTCCTCCTAACCTTCAGAGAATAAACTGTCTACCGCTTTGAATAACGTTGTTTATTGCATGAGATTTTAGTTCACCTTATTTACTGGCTCCATTCTCCCAGGTCCCATGGACAACTAGACTGATAAATACCTCACAAGGTATTGTGCCCAAATTCTGAACCCCCAAATCACCAAGAGGCCCATTTTGATGCAAAAGCAAAGAGTCTTTTATTGTAGATGTTTAACGAGCTAACCCTATTAGCTTGGGCCCTTCACCCCGCCACCATGGGGGATAACTGGAGAAAGACCCCAAGCAACCTCCAGGCAGGGACCTTAAAGGGCAGCGAAAGGCGAGTGTCTAAGGGTATGAAACAGTCTCAGGATTGGTGCACTTCACAGCCCAGGGCGGTTGCTATGCTCTGCATGTCACTGTTGTGCACTGTCCGTAAAGCACACCCAGAGCCGTAAAGCACAGCTCTGCAAGCTAACTTCTGATTGGTTCCTTGCCATGAGGAGGGCATCTGACCTTAGTGACCAGGACAGGAGCCGCAAGGTCATGCAAGCACATGTTAGCCTGTCATGGCTGCTAAAATGGAGGACTGGTCACTACAAAGGGAAGGAATTTGTGGGTATGCAGCACAATGGTGGGCTACCATCTCAGATGAGTAAATAATAAACTATTGCCTAGTGCTGGAGAAATGGCTTAGAGATTAAGAGTACTGACTACTCTTCCAGAGGTCCTGAGTTCAAGTCCCAGCAACCACATGGTGGCTCACAGCCATCTATAGTGAGATCTGATGCCCTCTTCTGATGTGTAGGCATACATGGAGGCAGAATACTATACACATAACAAATGAATAAACAAATCTTTAAAAATTAAAAAATAAATTATTGTCTCTGTTTTATTCCTTAAAACAAGTAATGATTTCTCCAAAGTCCCACATGCTATTATTTACTTTCATTCAGAATTTCCAAAAAGAAATCTTTTCCAAATGAAACACTAATGTAACCGGTCAAGAGATGCCAACCTGCCAGCTACAATGGAGTGGAAAGCTCTGGATGAAGATATCCTAGAACACCACAGGAGCCAGATTCAGGGAAGACCCCGAGAAAAGTGAATTCTGAGTCTAGAAAGGCAAGTATCACAGGCAAGAGTGGCCCTGTCTCCCCTATCAGGTTTTTCTTTCCTCATCACTCTCTTCTATATCCAGTAGGTACTCTTCCTAAAGAATTTCATGCCTATTTGTTCCTTTTAAAGGACTATTAACATCTGAAGTGTGAGTACCTACAGCTTAGGCAATGCTCAAGTGTGCATCTGTTCAACCAAGTAAAACCCTCAAGGACCACAAGGACAATTCTGTGCCCCGGCTGTGTTCACTGATAACATTCAGGGTTAATTTTTGGTCAAGAATGGCTTCCTGGAGCTGGAGATGAGGCTTACTGGGTAAGAGCATTTAAAAGTCAGGGCTAAGAAAGGTGACTCCCACCTTCAATCCCAGTACTCTGGAGGCAGAATTAGGCAGATCTATTTGAGTTCAAGGACAGCCTGATTTACATACCAAGTTCCAGATCAGCCAGGACTTCACAAGATGACTCTGACTTAGAGTAACAAACAAACAAACCACACACACACACACACACACACACACACACACACACACGCACACGCACACGCACACGCACACAAACACACACACACACACACACACGCAAGAAAAGAAAAAAATGTAGATGTGGCCATGAGGCACCTGTAACCCCAGGGGGTGAGAAGAGGATTGCTGGGACTTGCAAATTAAATCCTTGCTCCAGGTTCAGTGACTGACCCTGTCTCAAAGTTAAAGAGTGGGGAGAGGAAGGAAGGGAGGGAAGGGAGAGGAGAGGAGAGAGAGAGAGTGGGAGAGAGGGAGGAGACAGAGAGGGGGAAGACCTAGACTACTGCAGATTGAATTGAGTTGGGGATTTTTTTTCCAATAAAAATAATTATATTCATGAAGAAAATCTTTTCAAAGCATGATCTCAACACTTTTTATTCTAATATTAGATGTGAATAGGATTAGACTTTTGGTGGGGTTTTTTGTTTTTTTTTTTTTGCAAGCATTAGAATTTTTGAAATATTATAAAAGTATCCTGCTGCAGGCTGGGTGTTGGTGGCACATGCCTTTAATCCCAGCACTGGGGAGGCAGAGGCAGGCAGATCTCTTTGAGTTCGAGGCCAGCCTGGTCTACAAAGCGAGTTCCAGGACAGCCTCCAAAACAATACAGAGAAACCAAAAAAAAAAAAAAAAGGATCCTGCTGCAAATTATTCTGCTGCAAATGTGAATGGTAGCAACTTGAAATTTTGGATTGCTTTTCCAAACTTCTCAGTACAGCAAGCACACCTACTAACAGATTGACAAAACTCAAAACTGTAAGCCTGGAGGAAATACAGTTGAATGCATGTAATAAGGTAGGTTCTCCCTTTCTGCTTCATGTAAAAAGCAACATCAGGTTCATCTTTCTTTAAATATTTTCTGCAGCTCTCCAGAAAGGTATCACTGAGATGATCTAATCAAGGTGAAGAAGACACTTGTATAAGCTTACATTTCTTTACTAACAACAATGCTTTCTACAAAAGCAGGATATTGTGATTTCCATTATAAGCTGATGAAGGAAATGATTAAACTTTATAAATCCTTAGTAGGGAGCTAATGGCATGTCTCAGGATATAAAGGTGCTTGCCAGGCAAGCCTAATGACCTGAGTTCAATCCGTGGAGCCTACACTATACTCCATAAGTTCATTTATTGTATAGGTGCATACAAACACAAATGACAGGAAAGTTTTCACATATTTGCGTTTGGATATATATCTTTAACACAGTAGCATCTATACTTGGCAGCAGATAGGTTCAAAGAGTATTAAATATTCATTTTAAGTAAATAGTATTTTATTCTCCCTTTAGGTAATAAAGTGCCAAGTAAATTAAAATTTTACTTTGTGAGTCCACAATTCATATTGTAAAGGATATGACCCATGAACAAATTAAATATAATTTTTATTACAAGTAATAACAAATATAAGGATAGATGCTATAAATATTTCTATTTTTAAATTAAATCTCTACTTTCCTTCCTTCTTAAATGTCCATTATTAGGACAATAATCCATAAATTATGATAAAAGAGTAGTTTATATATCGCATCTATTAGCAAGAGTGTTAGAGTTATACATTTTAATAGAAAAAAATCCATAAAATATTTTGACAGGAAAAATTTTCAGAGTAATATAACATTAGTCAAACATATTTTAAAAAGCAAGTGCAAAATAATATGGCATGCCTGTGTATACATGTGTGGCCTTAAAATATATATATAAATTATATATATATTTAAATGCTGAGGAAGAGTGTCACACTGCTTACATAATAATAAACTGTAGGGATAGACTTAATTTTTATCCTACATTTCTGCATGTTTCATTTACTATACATACATATTATGATTGCAAGCACAAAAAAATTTTAAAAGCAAATCTCTTAGTACTATAGGTTTACTGAAATTAGTTAAACAATCCTGACCAAACACTTTCCAGAAACAGGGGACTAGACAAATGACTCAGTAGGTAAGGTTAAGAGTATTTGTTGTTACTATACAGAGGACCTAGGTTCTATTCCCAGCACCCACATGGGGACTCATAGCCACTATAACTCCTAGAAATTCCCACAGTACACATTCTTACATATAAAAAAATTAATCTAAAAAAATTTAGAGTTTCTAGAAAAAACATTAAAATCATTTATGAAATACTATTAAAACGTCAGTATTTTCACAGTTAAGTAATAATAACCTAAAACCATTTTTTAAATATCATCCAGCATACTTTTCCCCACAAATTTTCTCTACTATTTTATGGTAACCTTATCTTAAGGTCCAAATAGATAACATTTGAATTCACGAGAAAAAAATATGCTTCAATTTTGAAAATTCTAGAATGAAAGATGAGAGAATAAATCGAACTATCCAAAGTTTTACCACAACAAATAAACAAACAGAGCCAACCTGATTTGTCCTCTGAGTCATCGAAGTCAACATTGAAGGAATGGCCACTATTGCTGATGATTTTAGCTGAGGTAGGATCATACTTGATACTGAGCGGTCGGAGGGAGGAGTCATATTTCACTTCTTTGGTTTTAATCTCAATCGGAGACTGCTGATCACCATCAGCAATGGGGAAAAATTCGTTCCAGTGAATAGGGCCTGATATGTGTAGGACCAAAAGGAAAGAGCTAAGTAAGTTCTTCATTCAACAAACTGAAAGTTGATAACAAGCACCTTATCCATGCAGAACAAAGGTTTGGGTCCTCATCATCCACATGAATGCCTGGGGAGTGTGGCAGCTCACTTGTAATGCAGCACCTAGGAGGCAGGGACAGAGGGTGTCTGGAGCAAGCTAGTTAGTTAGACTAACTGAATCAAGGACCTCTAGACTCAGTGGGAGACCCTGTCTCAATGCATAAGGTGGTAGAGAAAAATGAGAATGACAGCCAAGGTCAATCTCTGGTCTCCACATACACATGCATATACACCCACATACAAAAAAACACTCATGTACACAAACAAGTCACCTACATACCCCCACCCCCCAAAAAAGATTAGTAAAAGTAATAGCCTCATTGTCAGGGCCCTGCTACCTATAGTTTAACCAAGGCTAGTGTTTTATGGGTATGAAAAGAGTTTTATTCCCTTTAAGTTGTTTTCAGATTTAAGATGTACTTATAGGTAAAAGAATATTTACATTTCATAATGTACTTCCCAAAGGTACCCAACTACCAAACGAAAACAAAGTACAATTCGTTGCTGCAAACAAATCCCATCTCAGAATCAAGAATGTGCCCTGGCTGCTCCAGAAGCCGGGAAGTGTCTGGAGTAGAGAGATGAAAAGATGATGTTAAGCATCAAAAAAGCAGTCATTCTAAAGATGCTGCCTGTTAGTTTTTGCTTATTACACCACTCACAGATATCCTCAGGTATCACTCTGCTTAGCTCAATTACCTGTGATGTACAACTGATCTACCCAATACAAATCTTTCACAGAGAATAATCCAAATACAATGGCTATGCTGTGTCAATAAATATAGCATTGTTTCCCACATGTGTTTCTGGAAAAAAAAAAGCTGCAACATGAACACATGACAACACACACTGCTCTGTGAATCAGATACTTTGGGTCATAGCAATTTTGCATTAAAAATCCTCAGAAGACACTGTAGAAAGGGCATTGCCTTTTTTTATTAAACCACTTCACTTATCTTTCTGCATGAGTACTCTTTCTGTTCACATTTTAGTTTTCTTATTTAATACAGAAAACCTTTCTATTTCATGGTCACCACATATAAATTAATCTAATGAGCACTAGATTTCAAATATTCGACACATGCATCACAATGTACAAACATTCTTACAAAAGGTAAAGGGTTGCTCTCACTTCCTAATCACTTTCTTCATCAATTCCTACCTATTCACGACCAGAGCTGTTTATAGGGAAGTCAATACTATGCAAGATAAAAAAAGAATGCTTGGATCAAATGGTCAACTTTACCTATTCACTTGCATTATTGTACCTCTTAAAAGATACCTACCTTTGTACATTTTCTAGCACATTTAAATTTAAATCCACTTAAATATCGTTCTTAAGTGAAAGACAGGTAGCTCCTCAGTGGTTTGGAGGATTTTTTGAGCATCTATAGTGATAACTAATGTTTGGTGATGTCACATGGCCAAACCATTAAAAATAATCAGAGGTTAGTGGAAGAAATGACAAATTGCTTGGGGACCAGGCACTCTGTCGAGAGTTCTCCTTGGTTCCATTTCATCACAGCTGTTCTCTCTTAGCTCAAGATTCCCTTAATCTGCCCAGTCACTGGTTTTGCCAATGACTAAACAAGAAAAAGCAGCATAGCTTGCTTAGCTAGGATGCAGCACATTTCAACAGAATTTTCCCAACAAAATCTACCTTCAAGGCGTGGTCCTCTTAAAACCACTGTATCTAAAAGAGAAGAACTGGTCTACAACTCCTAGCTAGAATGTCAAATGGAGACTGGAGAGAGGCTCAGCAGTTAGGAGCACATGTTCCTCTTGCCAGACACCTGTGATGGCTCACGATCATCTGTAATCCAGTCCCAGGTGATCAAATGCCCTCTTCTGACTTCCTCAGGTACCAGGATGCATGTGGTACACAGACATACATGAAAGCCAAATACTCATAAGCATTTTTAAAAGAAAATGAATAAATCTTTTTTCAAATTAAAAAATGAATAAAATGTAAAAATGACTCCTTGTTAATGTCTTTTCTAAGATGAACTTTTAAGTTTTCTGGAGGAGAATTTTATTGAAAACATCATTTTCTACCTATTAGGGTGCAATCAGGACCTACTGGGTAACACAACCTTATGACTGTCAAATAACAATAAAAGTGCTTCTATCAAAGGCAAAAATAAAACGTGTGAAGATTGTGTTTCCAAAACACAGACTAGAAGATAGTGAAATATTAGGATTGCTATTGTGACTTCAGTTAAAAAGAAATGAGACATAAACTTTATTCTTAAAATTCTAAAGTTCATCCTGTGCAATCTTAAAAGTAACATTAGTCATCACAGTCTCCATCTATGTCAGGGAAATGACTATGTCCAAGCTAATGAGTGAGACCTTGTCTTAAAACACAAAAAGGAAAAAATAAAAGAAAGGAAAAATGTCAGTAAACTTTGCATAAAATGTGCTGTAGAATCCTGTCCAATAATGCATATGCTAATTGAAGTTTTTAATATTATTCACAGACTCCATTTTGGCAGGCTTCTATCAGCGCGTTCTTGGTGTGCCTTTGCAATTCTTTTGAATAATTACTTGAAGCAATCAGTTCAATTCATTAGACCTAGAAGAAAAAGTGCTTTATCGATAATACATTAACGATATGAAGAAAAGTACATACTGCCAAGCTTATCAATAAGTACACTTAGCGACACATTATGATTTCTATAATCATTTGCTAAGCCTTGGTCTCTGAAAGGGTAGATATGGCAGGAAAGAACAGTGAAGAACAAGTAAGTTTCATGTCAGTATGCAAATTACAAGTTACTAAGATTTCTTCAACAGTTTCTGGAAGGCGTCCCGTGACTTAGGGATCAGTGCTCGTGTCGCCCTGAAGTTGTCCTTGTTTCCTCACAAGTATTTGACTTGTGACCTCTCAGGCTTTCTCCGGACTGTGGTGGGCTCTTTGAGTGAGGTGAATGAATACCCCAGTCGGCTCCGAAAGAGCGCATGGGGACCCCGGCCCCTGACTCCCATCCACCCACCGAGTTCAGAGCTCCCGCCGATCTGCACATGTCCCCGCTGGAGCCCTTGCTCACCGTTGTGCTCGCCGTATCCCCAGCTCAACCTCGCCATGGTCCTCGATGGAGAGCGCGGACCCTGTGGCCGAGCGCCCGCTCCAGGGAGCTGGGCGGGCCAGCGGGTGGAGGGCGGGGCCGCCCTGCCCAGGAACCCGAAACCGGAGGACACTGTCGTCACCCGCAGGGGGCGCCCGCGTGGGGTGGGGGTCCGTGCCCAAAAGCCAGAAGGGTTTCCAAAGGGGATTTCGTGCCTTCTGGGAAGTCGACACCCGGAGGACGCCCTTCTAGAAATGACCCTCCCAGGCAGGAGCTGCTGGCTAGAGGTGAAGAAAGATCTTGACTGGGAAACACAGGGAACCTTGATGGAAGTGGCAGTGGTGATTACACAGGCACACACATCAGTGCTGATAGCGGTAATAACTACCACTTAAAACAACTACTAGTTAGGAAGTGCTAACCTCTCGGGCCAGCCCTCCCTGCCCCTACAGCTCCATCCTTGGCAGTCTGCTTTACTTATTTCTCTGGTTCCTTTTTGCTTACTCCAGCATCTTGTAGGCTTGGCTCTGCATAGAAGAAACCAAACCTACTATATTCTTGGTGATTAAATCCCACTACACTTCTGACTGTTGAAAAAGGAAGGTTTTCAGACCAGATGTGTGTTCTAGCCTCCTACTGAACAGTAAAAACTAGCGCAAACACCTTGATGGGCAGGAGCCTGACATTAAAATAAGATGAGTGGTTGTTTAAATACAATCTTTCTCTGCTATCCACAGAACTGCTGCATGAAATAGGAATCCAAGTCACTGGAGAGCTGTGCGGTAATCATTGCAAAATACACACCACCAAATAATGATCCATTTAACTATTGCTTTTTGGTACCCCCTCCCCATTTAGTACCACATACTGCAGCCTGTCCCTCAGTATAAAAAGCATCAGAACAAGTTTTCAATGTACCAGTAAGTATAGTAAGCTTAATGTGCCCCCTGAATGTAAGCTGAGGGCTAACTTTCTGTTTTCTTCATTGTTCTGGAAGAATTGAGCTAGGTTTTGGTAATAACTCAGCAGTGTGTAATTTTTAAGAATAAAAGTTAACTCATATAAACTCTTACATAAAATATAACAATACTTTTATTGGAGAGGAGTATATACAGTATGTGCAGGCCTGTGAGATGGCTTCCCTTCAAGCCTGTTCACCTGGGTTCAATTCCCGAATCAACTCAAATGCGGAAGGAGAGAACCCATTCCACAAAGTTGTTCTCCGACATTCACATGAAGGCACCTGCATGCAAGTACCAGCACACACACTAGTAACAATAATAATAATAATAAATGCTTTAAAAAATACATTAGGACTGGGGAGGTGGCTCAGTAGTTAAGGACAACTTTGCTCATGCAGAGGACTTGGGCTCATTTGCCAGCATCCACACAGTAGCTCACAACAATCCATAACTCTAGTTCCAGGGGATCTGACACCCTCTCCTGACCAGGCATGCACATAATACACATGCATAGATGTAGGTAAAACATTTATGCACATAAAATAAGTCTAAAAAAGAAATTTAAAAGAACATACATTTTCCCTCAGCATGTATAGGACTTTTAGCAGACGCATTTTCATATTTTCATATGAACTGTATACGACCTCCCATATACTTCAAGATATTTTCCAGATTTGTTTTAATGCCTAATACATGTAAACATTTTGTGAATGATGGTTAGGGTGTATTTTCAGGGGTTAAGTCTTTTAATGTTCTGTCCAGATATAATTAATTTATGTATATTTTTATTTTAAGTTATTTAAATTCACACATCTCACAGATAAAGAGATAGGACTGTGTGTTATATGTGCACATATATACATTATGAATGTGAATGAATTTTTCACCCTATATGTATTTAAGATTACCAACATAAAAAAGTAAGCCTAGGTGTGTGATAGCTAACCTTGGTGGTCAACTTGAGCCATCTAGGAAGATGGAACCTCAAATGAAGAACTGGCCATGTCAGATGGGTGACCTGATCACATCTGTGAGGATATTTTCTTGATTGCTAGTTGATGTAGGTGAGTCTACCTCGTTGTGGGCAGTATCAACCCTAGGCATGTGGAATTGAGCTGTATAAAAGGCGGTCTGGGAGCAAGTCCGGATCATATTTCCCCGGGGTCTCTGCTTCAAAGGCTTTCACCTTGAGTTCTTGCTTTGGCTTTGCTCAGTGATGGGATGCAACCTGTGTGCTGAAGTTTCCTCCGTGAGTTGCTTTTGGGCACGGTGTTTATCACAACAGCAAAAAAAAAAAAAAAAAAAAAAAAGGCAGGGGACTAGGTTACTCAGCTAAATGAGTCCTCCAGTTCTGCCTCAGACCTGTGGGCAGAGACTTTCATTATTGATGACATAATTATTGGACATGTCTGCCCTAGTTTGCTTTCTATTGCTGTAATAAACACAACTAAAAACAACTTGGAGAGGAGAAGATTTATTTAACTTACACATCCAGACACAGTCCACCGTTGAAGGAAACGGAGGTATGATCTCAATCAAGTCCAGAACCTGGAGTCACGAACATGAAGCAGAGACCACAGAGGGACATTGCTTACTGGTTTGTTCTGCACAGCTTGTTTAGCCTGCTTTCTTTTTAAAATGTTTATTCATTTATTATGCATACAGTGTCCTGTATGCATCTATCCCTGCAGGCCAGAAGAGGACACAAGATCTCATTACAGGGTTGTGATCCATTATGTGATTGCTGGGAATTGAACTCAGGACCTCTGGAAGACCAGCTAGTGTTCTTAGCCGCTGAGCTATCTCTCCAGCTCTAGCCTGCTTTCATATATAGCCCAGAACCACTTACCCAAAGGTAGCACTGCCCACAACATGCTGGGCCCTCCCATATCAATCACTGATCAAGAAAATGCCACCACGGGAAACAATTTGGTGGAAGCATTTTCTCAGCTGAGGCTCTTTCTTCCTGTATGATGCAAGCTTGTGTCAAGTTATCAAAAACTAATGAACATGGTATCTCTGCAGTAAAAGAAGTGATGAAAAAATCAGTTTCCTGAAGCAGTTCCCCTAATATTCTTACTTCGCACCAACTGCCTATGCTTGTAAACCCAGACAACTTCTCTGGGAGGCAAGCCAGGTTCATTAACTCAAGTGACTTAACACCTCATGGTGACAAGTGTTCTAATATTAGTTCCCAATAATAGTTGTCCAATGAACGGATCAATGAATAAGCCAGAAATTTGAATTGGAACTTTTGTGCTTTGAATTTTTCTTTGGGTAGTCTGTTCACACTCCCAAAACTTCACTACATATAACCGAAAAAAAATTCAAAGTACCACTCACAGGAAACTGGGTAGATATACCAAAGAACATCTGCATAGTGGTCAGTCATCCAGCTGTAAAAGGAACAAACAACTCCATGAGCAATATGGAGTAAGTCCAGAGACATACTAGCTAGGAGAAAGAAGAGAAAAGACAAAAGAATGTAAACAATATTTGTTCAGTGGAAAATAAGAAATACATACATTAACAACTTTTTGACAAAAGCCTCTTATGAGAAGGTTCATTTAGTTTTATGTGTATGAATGTCTGCCTGCCCACATGTATGTATGTATGTATGTGTATATATATACACGTGTGTGTGTGTGTGTGTGTGCACTACATGCATGCCTGGTGCTTGGGAAGACTGGAAGAGGATGCTGGACCTCCTCCTGGAACTTTATTTACATGTGATTTTGAGCTGCCATGTAGGAGCTAAAAACTGAACTCAGGTCCTCTTCAAGAACAGCAAATGCTCTTAAACTCTGAGTCATCTCTCCAGTCCTGACCAAAAACCTTTGGAAAGATAAAGTCACAAATTAACAAAACTGGTTTCTCATATAAGGCAGGTATAAGTTGAATTGATGTTGGATTAGGAAAGAGTTAATTTGTACAATATCTTCTTGATATGTTATTCTGTTTTTCATTTAAAAAATGAGATCAGTGCCGAATCATAGCACAGGCCTGTAATTCCAGCTCATGGAAGGCTGGGCAGGAGAGTTCTACATTTAAGGGCATCTGGGTAAATCAATGAGTTGGAGGCCACTAAAGATAACACAAAATTTTGCCTCAGTAAAATAAAATAAAAGTAAAATGGAGGCAGGTAAATTATTTCAGAAGGTGAAGGAGCTTGCCGCCAAGCTGGCAGCCTAAGTTGGATCTCTAGAACTTGCATGATTAAAGGAAAGAATTGACTCCCTTGAGTTGACTTCACAAGTATGCCGTGTTTTGAGCACATGCACACACACACATGCAAATATGTAAGTGTAAAAAATAAGTAAATAAAATAAGATATTTTAAAATATATAATTGAACTGATTATAACTATATATATACATAGATATACATATATATATGATTGTACAAATAATCAATAGAAAATACACTGGAAACACCTACAAAAACCACTAGAATATTATTAGAGTTTTTTGGTAGATATATTTGTTGTGTGATACTGAAAGTATTTATGCACCTGTCATAAGACAGAAAAACTGAATTAGAATATTGACGCATTGTGGCTCATGTAGAGAAGCCTTCCAGCCAGCCTGGTTCCAGAGCCGCATCAGTCCCAAATAAACACACAGGAGGCTATATTAATTATGAAGCTGTTGGCCTTGCTTGTTTCTTACTGGCTAGCTCTGACTTAAGTATTTACCCCATAATTGTTAATCTAAGTATTTCTCTTACCAGAGAAGTTTCCAGGCTTCTTATCCATATAGCGGTTACATCTTGACTCCCTGTGTTTCTCCTACCCAGAGTCCTCTTCGACTCCTAGTCCCACCTATCTTGCTTCCCTATTGGCCAACAGTGCTTTATACAGAGGACTTAACCCCATTGACATATACACAGGACTTCCCCCATCAGGCTCATAAAAACATGAAGTTGTAGAAGCTAAGAAAGGATCATCCATGTGGAAAATTCTGTTCACTGGAGGATATTAAAAGTAGACTAGGACAGAGATGCAGAAAATTAAAGGGACATGGGAAGGAACAGGAATCTCTCACTCTGAAGTCTGACTGAGAGGGAAGAAGCAAGTCTAGCATGGCTAACAGCCTTCTCCAGGAAGGTTGCCTACATAAAGACATTCCTT